TGCTGGCTGGGGAATTCTGGGAGTTGAAGTCCAGTCATCTTAAAGTGGCCAGGTTTGGACAACACTGATCTAAGCGTACATCACAGAATGGGCTCTAAAATCACAAGTACTAAAATTATCCGGGGTGAATGTTTCCTTTTTCACATTGTATTTTCAAATTCTGCAGGTTATCTGTTTATCGCTCTTTGTTCCCAAGAAGGGGAATCTGCGGTGTTCCCATTTTATTCTTGCAACAGCCTGATGAAGGTGATTAAGTTGAAAAGGAGCCCATGCAGGTGTGACCTGGGTTTGGGGTACTTTGGGCTGCTTTAAAAGACTTTCACGTATTTTAAAGACTCCGTTTCCCTAGGCCTAGGTTGGCTTTGCCTCAGTACGATGTGTAAACCCAGCAGTGGTGATGTATTCAGTAAACCACAGTTCAAGAAACTGTGGTTTACAGCATGATGTGTGAACTTATTCACTGGCTTCTGAAAAACCCACAAGGGTTGCAATTCCCCAAGGATTTTTTCTGTCTTGTAGGCAGCAAACGATGCCTTTAGGGATTAGCAAACAGGCAACATTTGCCGGCTTCTGAACTTTAGACCAATTTGTGAGGATCTAGCAGGATTACATAGATTTTTGAGCCTTGTGGATGGCCGGGGAAGCACTAAAAACTGAAGTGTCATATTACCACCCATCTTGCATTCGAAACTCTTGGTTCTTTTTTCTTTTTCTTGCTGAGCGTCTAACCTCTTTTCATCCCTGCCAAGCTTTCAGCTCCACTCATTTAAAGGAACAGTGTAAAGGAAGTTAAACACTCAATAGAAGCACTGAAAAAATGTCTGAATAGCATTTCCTTTTGCCTGGAGATTTAATTTAACAAGCGTTCTTTCTCTTTAGGAATGCAGGCAAAAGAGTTTGGCAAACTGTATTTGTGAAAGTCAGATTTTTTTTAAAAAAATACTTCTTTTTCAATAGACTATTTTTGAAGGTTGTATCTCCCCCCTTCCTCCTCCTCCTTAAAAAAAAAAAACACTGATAAAATATCATCAATCCTTAACCACCCAGCCTTTTGGTATTTCTTTAAATAACAAAGAAATGGTAGTCTGGATCTGGTCAAATTTCATTTGACAGAGAAGTTTTGGAATTCCTCTCCTCCCCCTTCCTTTTGTGGGGTTTCACAAACTGCCCTGGAAGTGAGTGTTTGCCATCTACCCAAAGCAGTTTGCAGATGAAGCAAAGTTCAGAGCCCTTGGCCGGCCTTGGACGCAGACGCACGAATACGGTGCCCTCCGTTTCCTGGGGACTGGCAAGGGGTTTTATATTTTGTAACACATTTTCTCTTGGAGAACCACCAAAACTTCAGGGAAGACCATTGAACAGAATCAGGTGATGCTTTCTTGATGAAACAAAGCATGCTTGCCCTTATACGTGTGTGCAGCAACTCCGCGATCTGGTTTTCCCCCGTAGTCTTTAAATGGTGGTTTATTTATTCGATTTGGAGGTTGCCCAACTCCAGAACAACTCTGGGTGGCTTACAGTTGAAAAACAATAGAGAGGGAATCTACAAGTCTGGGCAACCATATCCCATACAAAAACATGCACCGTCAACTATCCTACCTGAGAGGACAGCCAGGTTTTTAAAGACTTCTGGAGTCTCCTTAGGGTGGGAGCAACATGGATCTCTGCCGGGGGGGGGGGGGCTTATTCCCAGGGGCAGGCACGGCAAAAGAAAAGGGCCATTTTGAGGGTTGGACAGAGGGCA